TACCTCCTCGAGCGATAACCCAAGTTTTATTTCCCCCAAAAAAAATACTGTTTGCGCATTCCTATGCCCCTCCCTATATAATAGTAAAAAATACCCATCCTCCCACAATATACCCATGCAAAGGTAGGTTTTTTGCAGTCAGACGAACTACATTACCTTCAAGTTTGCCTTCCAATTTGTTTCCTCTTACTCTTGAAACTACAGAACAATATACTGATAAGGACGAAGAATATATACCTCTGTTAACATCTCGTCATCCCATAGACAATCTATTGCGGAGGATAAAGAGGACACCAGCATGCGATGTAGCTCTTTGCTGCAATAGCAGTCGTAACTGTTTTGTTCATTTCCAAAATGAAGAATAATAATAAATAAACAGGACATGCTAAATTTTTGGTGGAAAACATCGCAAAGTTAATTTTCGTAAATTATTCGGCGTACTAATTTTAATAACCTAAAATCTTATTATGAGTATGTACCCATGTTATATAGTACATTTCTTTCGTGTAGTAGTTAAATGAATCGCTTGAGCATATTTGAAAAGTTTGGCATTCAGAATACCGCGTGGCTGGAGCATACTAAATTTCACATAACTTGAAATTAAGCCATTTGTTTGGATTGTATGACATACGCCAGTGTGTGGCTTATTATTATCATGTAGTCTGACTTTTCAGGAGTTGCTCCAGTCATTTTGAGCCGGCGTAAGTATAAAAAATTGCCCCGTGTGCTCAATTTTTTCCAAAAATTTAAGCGGGCAAATTTGCCGCGCGGACGGTTTAAGAAATAGAGTATGGGAAATCGGGATCCCAGAATTTTGGGGATTCCCTGAGTGGGATACAAATGAGGTATGACTGTACAGAAGTTTATCCAACACTTACAGCATTAACAAAATCCGGTTTGATGTACAGTCGCACCTGTCTATTTGCATACTGTCGGGACCGAGAGATTTTTATGCAAATATACGTTATCACATGATTTGATACTCGAAAATTTTTCATTATGCTCTCTCATACAATACGATAATACGAAATCACAATCATTTATGACTATTTGAGCAATCAACAACGTTAAATGTTTTATTACCGTATTCTTCCGAAAATAAGCAACACTATAACAAAAAAAGTGTTGCTTATTTTCGGGTAGTTTAATAGAATGAAAGAAATTCCCACTGAATCATGTGATTTCTGTCGATAGAATTTCATCTGCATTTATCACGCAATACGCGAAACAGACTTTAAAACTATTCTTCTTCTATACAAATGACAAACCAAAGAGTTGTTAATACTATTAAACGTAAGACTCAATTTGTAAAACAAACGCGAAATTTATACTCAGTGTCACATAAAAAGGATGTCATTGCCTATGCAAAAAACCATGGAAATTTTTGCCGTGCAAGTCTTAGTGATGTATGTTTATGGGTGAAAGTATTTCTACCGATATAATTGTTAAGTCCTTTAAAACGTGTAATATTTCAAACGATTTGGACTCTGATGATGTTAATAATGATCATGAGGACGATAATACCACTGACTTCGTCATTGATGAGAATGATATCATTGACAACATTGATATTATTGTAATAGTAATAATAATAATAAAATAATCAATTGAATACATCTATAAAGGTAAATTACTGAAGTGTTGCTATTTTTGGAAGAATACGGTATTATATTATTGCTATTGCTATTATTATTTAGATCAACAATTCAAATCAGAAAGATAATGAGGCTGCCTGTTGTTTCTGCTAAGGAAGTGTTGAAAGCATTAGAAATAGTCAACATGCTTTTGTTGCAACAGTCTAGAGACTGTTCGGATGAGATTAGAAAGTTAACTAGCATCAAAAATACTATGCAAATGATGTATTCCGAGTCTCTGAACCAAAGCGACATTAGTAATTTTTTACGCCACGATAACAATAATAAAATTTAGATTGATCTGATTGATTTCTCCTTTTTATAGTATGAACATGCAAATATATGTTGGTCGGACCTACTAGAGTCAGGGTCCACCTTTGATGCATATGCACGTTTACGTTATGCAAATAGTTAATAGGTCCCAAGGGGCTCCTTATGCAAATGAACAGAATATGCAAATATACATTATGTAAATAGTCAGGATACGCCTTGTCAACAAACGAATATAAATACCAATCCACGAGAGCTCGTACGCTCACCACCATCAACTCTTTTTCTTCTCCGCTTAACAAATTTCTCATAACTCATTTACCTCAAACACCGGAAAATAATACTACCTTTGTCATGTCTGTAAAATCTTGTTTAGATTCGATAAAATTACATTTCGAGAATACACCTGTTGAAGAATGGTCGTATATGACATTCTTAGAATCGCAAAAACCGATTATCGTCTCCGAAGTTTGCTCGCTGGTTAATCAAAAATCTTTGTGGAGAAAGCGATATCTCACATATTTACGTAGCGTCCTGGCTACGAAAGAGCAGGATGATATTAGCAAAAGGCGAGCAGCTTTTTTAATTAAAGAGGTTTGTCAATGTTTATTTTTCCTGCTTTCATGAGATTCGTGCAACCAGTAAGGAGTATCGTTCACTTTCTGCTGTTTACACAAATTAGAGAGGATATCGTTCCTCCGTGTAACAGTCGCAGGGTATTGTTTATCCATGAGACCTGCGCAGCCTGTAGAAAGTATCGTCCTCAGCGCAATATACACAAACTTGGAGGGTATTGTTCCTTCTCTGTGTATAGTCGCGGGATATCATGCCTCCTGAAAGACCACCGTCTTGATTGAGGTTTATTAACAATTTGCTATTTCTGCATTTTTAGAAACGACCGCCCGAAGAGAAAACTTTCTGGAATAATGTTGCGATTGAAAAAGGCTTACTGATAACAAATGTACAGTACTTATAAGCATTTATAACTTGAATTTTCATTGCACTTTTTACAGAAAATAATTGAATTATTTATTAGGATGATACATCATTTCAAGATGAAAATGATGATAATGAAGATAATACATTATCTGATGGTACCAAATTTAAGAAGGCGACTCCGCTGGATTAGGTGAAATATTTCAACCCTCTTGATAGCAGGATCGGACGATGATTACGAAACAATAACAGAGTCAGGGAGTTTAGATGAGGTCAGTAATTTTCTCAGCATTAAACGTTGGAAGTGTGTTAGATTTCTTATATTAGTATTATTTAGGAGCATAGTGGAATGAGAACGCCGCCGGCCACTGACAGATAACGAAGCGCTTTTCGTTACGTCTAGCCACTCATGGGGTTCTGCGGTTTTCAGGAAGAAGTCGTGAAACAAATTTCAATTATGAAAAATCTCGACTTTATTTCTGATCATGAAGGAAGCATGGTTCGAGACGTGTTGAAGATCCCGAAAGCTTTGAATGATCTTCTCAGGACGGAATAAGCTATTGACACTTGCTAGAATGATGTTTAATTGAAACAATCTAATGTATGATCCCAGTGCAAAATTTCTGAAACTAAATATACAGCAATGCAATGGTAACTTTATTCTGTTGCCTAAGAAACTTTTATGGCTATACTCACCTCTATTTTACTGTATACAGCACAAAAAACAAGCTCCGCAAACTTGCAAAAATTTGTGGGATAGGTAACTATTTTCTTGCACGATATACGCTATATACAGTACACGTATAGGATGTTAATTGATACTTTACGTTAGTTCCAGCAAGTCTCCCTTCAACTTTGCAAAATCCTGATATTACCACTCCGCTTCTCAAACATTTAAAAGACAAAGACTCTCCCGAAACGCCAGCACTCGTGATTGATTGGAACGACGCGGGCTTCAATGATACTCCCACTCAAGATTTCCGAAATGGTGTCGTGGGACAAACCAAAGCAGCTATTATCGCAAGCCTTATGGCGCACGGGGCAGGCGACTATTTGGATTTGAACATAATTTTCGCTGCGTTGAGATCAGTACTTGGCTTAGGCATTTGAGAAGAAACTTTGCGTGGTAAGAAATAATGTTATACATATCTATTTCACATACTTTGGGAATCAACTAATACGTTTTTCTTAAAGAACAAGAACGCAAAGAGGCATTCCCGACATCTATCACGCAATCTTAAGAATAAATAAAATAACAGAACACTCGGCCATTGCAAGTATTGAGGACCTTACTTATTATCCGGACTTGTGACAAGCGGTTACACTCCGTTGTTTCAATCAATAGATATGATGATTGTTTGTTAGCAATACATAATATCGCTATACCCTTGTTTATCTGCAGAACTTGCTGCGGGCCATTATGGCTGTCGTTATTAATTATTTTACTATGCAGGGGTTTGATTTGTTACGTTTAATCGTTCTATAAGTTTGTTATAGGCATTATATGAATGAATATGCTTTATTAAGAAAAGATGGTCAATTTTACCAAGTTCCTGTGTTATAAACTAGTAAACCATATAAAATGTCGATTTTTCAAATCGTTAACTCTACATTTTCTCGAACAAGTACCAATAAAATTTATATTAACTACGGCATGTTTATGGACTAGAAACGTATAAATGAGCCTGTATTTATTGATCAATTTTGCAATCAGTTGGCCGTGCCCACATTCAACAATACGAACTCAAGAAAGGCCTAATGTTTTGGTGGTAATGGGCAATATCATGCATCCGACTTTTCCATTTGCGGCCAATAATAAACTGATCATCTGACACTGTCACTTTGACACATCACTCATACATTGGTATTGGGTTGCCACACCTTTATTGCTCACTCATAGGTGTAGACAATAAAGAATGCAAATCTCCAAGGTAAAAAGGTCACCCACAAGGATGAGTGCACCACTATCCACAGGCCTTTCCCGTTGATCTGTTCCTTTCATATTCAGTTGATAGAACCTAAATAGGTTCATACTATAATAATAAGCCATTGAGTCCTCCAGGTGAGGGAGGGCAGACTTTGATTTCAGATTCATTAGGAGCAGGATTTGTAAAAGTTTTTGAAATGATAATTGAAACAGGTCAGGTCTTGAATTTCTCAATGCAAATTTTGGTGGTGATAGTGAAGGAATAAGACTTGACAGGTAATAGGTAATGAAGTGAGATGCCTACCAAGACACTGAGTGATAAGACATTTGGGCTGGTTAGTTTAAATGACTATCATGAGGAATTTTTATTCACAATGAGGTACTTGTCACCGGTTTTCTTCGCGAGGCGGCTGCGTCCCCTCACCGTGACAATAGGGCTCTGTAATGTCGATGCTTAGTG